GGAACCCTGTAAAATAGAGATTTAGTGCTAGTTCAGCCCTTCCTACCAACACCATCTAGTTTCAAAGGAAGGAGATCCAACCACAAAATCACGCCCCCAACTCCTAACCCCTAAAGCTGATCCAGAACGGTAACATAATCAATAGTATTAAAGACCACTGAAACGTCCAGAACCTATACCCCAGTCTCACCAAATGTCATATGTACATGCAATCAAGGTAATTTCCTTGCTACTTCCCAGCCTCATACCCACTGAAAAGGACCCACATAATATTTCTCCCAATGTCCTTGTGAGGTATAAACTGATCTTTTCAACAAACTGCCTTAAAAAGGGAATATTAGAGAAAGAACAAAGTATTGTCCAGAGCGGTGGGGCCCAGAGATGGCCTCCTGAGTAGGGTAATGTATCATTGACTCTGATATAGAGCTGGTATCCATCAGGTGTCTGGAGCAGACCAATTATATTTTCCCAGATCAGGCTTTTCTGGAATACAACAAAGGGAAGAAGTGAGCTCAATAATGCTAGAGCACTAGGGTTAGGGTTAGGAACTGTAAGGGACTGTAAGCAACTTGGATGAGGCTCTGTGTTTTGACAAATGTTTTCATTCACACTGTTCAGCCAAAATGGATGCATTGCCAAACCAGCTTTAGGCTTAGTCCTCATTTTGCCTGTAATGCAGTGGGCAGTTCAGGGCTGCAATTTGAGAACTCCTGACTATGTACAGATTACAAAGTGATGACTAAAAGCGTATAGCATAATTTATTTACCTCTTACTCAATCCTAATTCCAGCCTTGTTCATTTATCATTTAGGAGTGTATGGTACTGCAAAGTTAGAGACCCTTAATCCCAAAGTGTTCTCTCCCCAAACTGAAACTATTGCTGTTTTCAGTGAAACACATCTGAAATCATTTGACATATTATCCAGTGGAGGAATACTCAGCAGAAAGAATGATATGATCATGAAGCTGGAGTCATAAGTTTCCAATCCAGTGGATGGATGAAAAAATCAGAAAGGAAGAGGCCAAGCTTTGTATTAGAAAGCTCTGAGGAACAGATCAAACAAGTCAAAGTGATGCCTCTGGTTGTGTGATTGAAGCCTTATTCATTTTTTATATAGAACATGTATGCAACACACATAGAAGAGGGGTGACGCTTTGTAGAGTCATGGCTACCATCTTAACATTTTTATTCTCCCCTACAGACAACTATCTTACATTTACAGAATCCTTAGGATTCTGGGAACCAATTTACTTATGGTGAGTATAGATAAGTCGGATTAAAGGAGAACTGGAAGAATGTTGGACATTACATGACCTTGGTGAAATTTAGTTTTTGTGTTTCTTTCAATAGAACATTTCCACAGAAAACTCAAAGTTTAATATGTCTTTGCAGCTTGACAGGCTTCTAGCTACATTCAAGAAATAAATGGAAACCAAACAGTTTTTTGAAGAAACTCATAAAATGGCAACAGAATTTATTATCCAGAAACAATAGTGTAATTTTATTTTTATCTTAGTGTGGGTAGATAGAGTCACCATATTTTATAACCTTTTCTGAGAAAGCCGAAGTAGTGTGGATTTTTCAAAATCCAGATTGGCAGCATTCTTTCTTTCATTAAAATGCGTTACATGTGGTACATATTGCCATTTGTGCTGGGAGACATTTGATAAGACAGAAGGTATTGAATGCTTTCCACCAGTGGAAAAAGTCACCATTGAGGGTGGGGTGGGGAAAAGACAATGTAAAATACTCTGAATGTGCCAAATGTTTGATGGCAGGAAACAAATTGTTGCTTTCTATAATAGGAAGACTCTTTTCCTTGGGTTTTTCACATTATATTTTCTCCTTCAAATGTCATTTGAGTGCAAATACATCCCTGGTTGGATCAAATACATGTTGGCCATATCAGGTAGGAAAGACATCCATAACATCTGTACTTAGGAAGTCTTTTTTCCTCACTTTGGTCTCAAGACATTGCCACAATGTATGAAGAATTCAGACAGAAATAATCTCTCTTCATGCATTTGGGAAAGCTATTTTTTTTTCTACCATATTTCAATGTTATGATGTAAAATTTCTTGGAGAAAGAGCAAGATATTGCTATGATCCATATATAAATAGCAATTTCCTGTCAATTTCCTGTCTCAAGTTTCCCCACCTGTGAATAGCATCTGGCTTGTGGAAGAAGTTTTTTCATGGTGCTTATTAAGGATCTCCTGGTTGTTTCTTAACAATCCATTAAAATTGAATCTCAAATGGGAAATTCCTAGGGATGTTTAGATGATGGCAGCTGGAGCTTCAGCCATGCTGCTTTTAGCACTGTTGCAGAATTGCATCTCCAAATTTTCTGAAATATTTAATTCCTGTATGGAAGAAATTGCTAATTTTTTCAGAGAGCTTCATAACTTCTTTCCAATTTCTTCTGGTGGTACTTTTCAGCTAGCTTTATTATAGGGTCACAAATGACCCAGAAGGAATGAGAAGATGAGCAGAGCAGACTATTAAGGACAAGGGTAGAGAAGAAAGACAGAGATGACAGAGATGAGATAGAGATAGATAATGTGCGTGCTTGCATGTTTTTTTTTTAAATTTGATTTATATGCCGCCCTTCTCCGGAGACTCAGGGCGGCTTACACTGCGTTAAGCAATAGCCTTCACACTTTTGCATATTTTATACAAAGTCAGCTTATTGCCCCCACAATCTGGGTCCTCATTTTACCTACCTTAGAAAGGATGGAAGGCTGAGTCAACCTTGAACCTGGTGAGATTTGAACTTGCAGTAATTGCAGACAGCTGATGTTAATAACAGTGCTTTAGTCTGCTGCGCCACCAGGTTAATGGATGGATCAATGGAAGTGTATAGAATGAAGGCAAGTGTATAGGAGCAGAAAGATATTATGTTCAAGGATGACCCTAAAACTGATATAAACTGGCATTTTACTTTTCTATGGGTAATCAAATAGTTAGCTTATCATTTTTTCAGTAACAACATTGTCTTGTCTTCAGTGGTACAAGCAAACTATGTTTTTCTGATCTCCTTCCTATGCAAGGTAGAATCAAATATTAGACAAAATTTGATAATTATCTATTCTATTGCAATTTGTGGTTCTTCAAATTTTGCACTTGGAGGGCTTTAAAGTGAAATTAGATTATTGATAGTTACTGTTCATGAGTTATATATTAATTCCAGAATTAGATCCAGAACATTCTAACTTCTTTAGTAAACAATAAAAGGTGAATTACAAGATCCAGCACTACACACATTGTATAGTCTTGGATCTTGTAATTCACTTACAACAATAACAGCGTAAAAATAAATCAAATACCTAAAGCCAAATAATAATGCAACAACAATAAAGTAAAAAAAAAACATGTATCAAATATCAACACATTAGATATTAGACAGAATAATGTTTGCAAGTAGCCCTCCACTTATACCCATGAATGAGTCCAGAATTTCACTTGTAAATTTTTGTCAAGTCAAGGCATCACATGATTGAAATCAAAGTTGCAATCATTATTTACAATAGTTGTTAAATAAACACTGCAGTTGTTAAGCAAATCCATTTTCCCAATGGGTGTTTTGTTAAAAACTGGAGCAAACACTAGAAACTGGCACAAAAGTCTCAAATTGTGGTCACATGATTGCAAACATTCATGAAGTGAGCTGGTTGCTCTATGCCCAAAATGTGATCACAAGATTGTGAGTGTTTGTGTGGCTGTCACAATTCTGAAAATGGGCCATAAGTAACTCTGGAGAGATTTGTCATAATTTCAAACAGAGTGCTGGAATGTGCAGCTGGAGAATGATAAGGAGGAATGTTGCCTGTACATACTGCTTCCTAGGGAGGAGGCAGCTATTTCCAGATATTGGCCCAAAAACAAGAGAATGTGTGATCCTGAACTGGATGGGGGAGGGAGGAAAAGGATCAGGGTAACCACACCCTTGAATTTGCCAGCGCATATCTATTATGTCAGAAAGTTATGGCTTTAGTCTGGCAAGATTCTGTCTATTAGGTGTAAAGTAATAAAGTAATAAAGTAATAAAGAACTGGACTTGATTGGCTCTCACTGTGTCTTTGGGCATAGGTCTTACAATGATCATTAAGTGACTGGTCATAAGTTGAGGACTACCTGTAGTGCCAGAGATGTAGTTTGATGTAGTGATTAAGATACCAGGCTACAAACTAGGAGACATAACTTCTAGTCCCACTTTAGGCATGTAAGCAGATGCAGGAGTTTGGGCCAGTTCTCTATCTCAGCCTTAGGAAATGAAAAACCACTCCCAAAAAACCTTGCCAAGGAAACTGCAGGGACTTGTCCAAACAGTGGCATTATTTCTTGAAGATCCCACTATTAAAATGGAAATACAGATTATCATGCTTGGTTTTTGATAGAGTTGTCAACTCCCATAAAGGGCAGGTTCATGCAGTTGAGCTCCTCCTGGACTTATGGCTTCTGATCAAGGAGCAGGTAGAAGCCAAGACAAGGAGAGCTTTTGCCTCATTTTGACTGGCTCATCAGTTGTGCCCTTACCTGAAACAGGATGCTCTGAGGACGGCCACACATGCTCTTGTCATCTCCAAAACAAGTTACTGTAATTCATTCTACATGGGGCTTTCCTGTAGACTTTTTGGCCAATCTCAATACTACCACATTATACCACTGCAGCAGGAGCTGAAATAGTTCCCAGTGTTTTGAGTACAATTTAAGGTGTTGACTGCTACCAGGAAAGCCCTATAACGGGTTGTCTTCTGGGCAGCATTTCTGCTTTCTGAGGCTGAAAGAACTGACTGGTTCAAGTCATCCAGCTGGCTTTGTGACTAAGGCAGGACAAGAACACCAAAATTCCAGTCTGACATGTTAACCATTACACCAAACTGTCTCTTGGGAAGCAGGAGGGGGCTGTTATAAAAGGAACAGCTCTAGGTGGCAAATATGCTAGGTATACCACTGTTTGACCAAACTTCTCACATATATTTTGTTTTCATTCCTGCAGAGGTGCTTTCTCCATTGTCAGAAGATGTGTGAAAGTGCTGTCAGGACAAGAATATGCTGCCAAGATAATAAACACCAAAAAACTTTCTGCTCGCGGTAAGTGCTGTCTGCCCCTAATACTGTTGCCTTTATTTCATTTCCAGGCCACATCAATGTTTAATAGTATTTTCTTCTATTTATGGAATCTGTGTAAGAAGAGCTTAAAGAGGCATTAGCCTATATCAGGGGTCCCCAACTCCTGGGCAGCAGCCCACTGCTGGGTTGTTGCCTGTTCAGAACTGGGCCGCGCAAGCAGCTGACCAGCGCATGCATGCATGCCCTATTTACACAAGTGCCAACACACACATGTGCACCAGCTTGCATAGGCCAGTTCCCCTCTCTCCCATCCTACGGGCTGCCAAACTGCAAAAATTGTAGACCATTGGTCAATGCCACTTATTAGCATGAAAGAAAATCAGGTCTCTGGCAGTGGCTGGGTACAGAGGCGAAAACTGCAGGATAGGGATTAATAATGGGACAGAAAATGTGATGCTAGAATTGTCTTTCTGCAGGGTACACTCTTTTAAAAAAAAAGTATAGAGTTTTATTCCCAGATTTCCCAAGCACATAACTTTTTGGTATGACTTTTCCAAAATATATGTTTCTTTTATCATTTGGAAAAAAATTACTGATCTTTGTGCCATGATAGAATCAATACCAGGAAACTGTTTTTCATTGTTGAAGAGCAGCATGTGTCGAAAGCTACATTGCATAGAAAAGGAGTGGGATGAGGATCGAAACTAAATTTGCATTAATTTCATTCAGGTTGTCACTTGTTTGGTTTAAATGCAGAAAATTTGAGTGTTACCCAGTCATTCATTTAATGTTTTTCTTGAACGCACAATTATTTATTCATTTAAGTTATTTGTTAGGTTTTTATCAAAGGTAGTACCAATAGCAATAGGTGCTTTGGGTGCAATGCTAAAACATCTGGAGCACCACTCGAACACCAGAGGCATTGACAAAAATAATCATCAATCAATTGCAAAAAGAAGCTTTACTTGGAACAGCTTACATCCTGCCACAATACCTTTAACACCATTAAACAATCACATTTGCCTATCCCAGGTCTTTGGGAAGGATTCAAGAGGTAGACAATAAATGCCAGATTCAATACAATCTGACCAGCTACAATACTAACATCCTACAATAGGTAGATGTTATAGATACTGACCTTTAACTGAAGACAAGTAATGTATTTATTCTCCTTAGCTTCAATATTTAACTTTGTCTGTCACATTAAGTTTTTCAATTCGATAGGAGTTTTTGGCACTGCATTGAAGACATGGGGAGGGAAATCTTCTGCCTTAGGTTCATGCAGAATAACTGTGATCTGACATTGCCTTTTCTCAATCTTTTATGGCATAAGAAACAGAAATATTTTATTCTGCGGGGGAATTAAAAAGCAGCCAACTATTTAATTCTTGCTACTCCAAAGGAACTTTTTATTTGATCGTGACTCAGTTCAATACCCAATTTGCTAAATCATCCAAACTTTTGAAATTATTTGTTCTAATGAGAATAGCCTTTGGAACCATCACCTTTCTGCCTTCTTGTATGTGAAAACGTGCTCTTTTCTTGGTTTCTCCCGTACCTTTTAAAGAAGGTAAAATGAAGGGTGTTTTCACACATCACCTCTGAATCTCTACTGCAATATTCTTGATAATGTGGCAGAAAAACAAGAGAACATTTGTAGTGTGAATAAGCATTCTGGCAATGTAAGTTTTACATTTGCATTAGAAAGCTAGCTTTAAAGAGCTACTTTAAGTCTCAAGAATGAAAACATCCATAGACTTCTCTCCCCTCCCCCCAGCATTATAGAAATATGCACTGGCTGAAGATCTTTCCTCACTTGCCTCTAACCATAGCACTAATTTGTCCTTGCAAGGAGTTTTTCTGCAGTAATGCCTTGATACTGCTTTTGTCTTGTCTCTAATCTACGAATAATATAAATGGAATCTCCCATAACTTCACTTGGAGTTAAAGTAGCGTTTCCCCCCTTACTTTGCCCTGCAAGACTCAAGTGTTCTCAAACTGCTCAGTTTTGTCACTCCTTGTCTTGGGAAAAAGTCAGCTGGCTGACAGTGAATGGGAACGAAATAACTGAGGTAGGAAAGAGATTGGCAAGGGGAGAGGGAAAATGACATACTATGATAGTTTTATGATGACCTACCCTTGGATTTTATTTTGATTCAGCAGTGGGGAATCAGTCAACTGTCAGAGTTCATTACCAGACATGGCAATAAATCTTAATACTCCAGATACTTAAGTCCATATTAAGAAAGTGGCTTACAGCAGAGACACATAGTGATTAGATAAGTGATTTAGGGTGGACCAAAAAGAAGAAACATACGGAGAAGATTTGCCTACTGCAGAATGCAGAAACAGAGACTTTTTTTTTAAAAAAGTTTTTTATTAATAATACAAAATTAAAAAAACATTGGACATAGATATGACATCACTAGTTCCAAACATCTTCCGTCACTTTACAATAATATTAGTACTCATATCAACATATAGTTCTTAAGCTATGTTCACTATTTATACATAATATGATATGATATTAATACTTTTCCCCTTATTTCTGTATATTTATTTATTTCTTAATCATATTATAGATAAACATACATTTATTTATTTATTTATTTAATTTGATTTATATGCCGCCCTTCTCCGGAGACTCAAGGCGGCTTACAATGCGTTAAGCATTTATCTATAATAACGTCTATTATTTTTGTTCTAACACTATACATTTGTCTTGGCTACCCTCTTGTTATCTATCCAATCATAAAATTGTTCCCAGATTTTGTAGTACTTAGTTTTCGCTTTTATCCTTGAGTTTCAATGTGAGTCTGTCCATTTCTGCAGAAACGGAGACTTTTGTTCGTCTGCTCTAGGCCTTTTTCTCCCACCTTTTGTATCAAGGAATTTTTGACCAGGGTTAAAATATTTGCTCAGTGTTTACAAAATAATTCATAATGGTTGTATCTGGCCTGAGAAACATTGCTTCAATTCTCATGCCTCCTGATGGGAAGTCAAGGAAGTTTGACTTCCAGTCCATGTGCAAAAAGGCTCATTTTCAATCTCTGCTATCTCTAGTTAAACACCTCTATGCCAAGCAACAATTAATTTTCTGACTGGGGTTGGTGGGAGCTGTAGTCCAGTGGTGAAATCCAATTTTTTTTACTACCGGTTCTGTGGGCATGACTTGGTGGGGATGGTGTGGCTTGGTGGGCATGGCAGGGGAAGGATACTGCAAAATCCCCATTCCCTCCTCACTCCTGGGGGAAGGATATTGCAAAATCCCCATTCCCTCCTCACTCCTGGGGGAAGGATATTGCAAAATCTCCATTCCCACCCCACTGTGGGGCCAGCCAGAGGTGGTATTTACCGGTTCTCCTAACTGCTCAAAATTTCCGCTACCGGTTCTCAGAACTGCTCAAAATTTCCACTACCGGTTCTCCAGAACCTGTCAGAACCTGCTGGATTTCACCCCTGATGTAGTCCAATACATCTGTGAGATGCTATAAGACAGAGGTCTCCAAACTTGACAACTTGGCATGTTGGCTGGGGAATTCTGGGAGTTGAAGTCCACAAGTCTTAAAGTTGCCAAGTTTGGAGACCTGACTTAAGGAAAGGCAATCTAGAGAGTCACTGCCAGTCAGGGTTTTTTAGGTAGACAAATCATTGAGATCCTTCGAAGAAAGCTTCAAAGGCTTTGATCTCCTCTTTTCCATTTTGCAAACTGAGAGGTTTGATCTATTAGGGCAGGCAGCCCTCCTGACTCCATTTTCATTGGCAGAGGGTTGCAGGAAGCCATCACAGCTACAATGGAGCTTGGGAGCCCTTTTTTGCTGGCAGAGTGCTCGGGCCACCACAGGCACCCCCCCCCCAAACAAGTGATGTCAAGATGGCCATGCCCACCCTGGCCACACTCACCCCGTCCCCCTGAGGTCAAACACAACCCTGATGCGGCCCTCAATGAAATCGACTTCGACACCCCTGTATTAGGGTTTTTATATTTTCTTAAAGAAAGGATAATGGTCAGTAAAAGAAGATTACTCCCCTAATCATCCAAAAGGCTTTCTTTCCCTTCAAGATGGTTTACCATTGGCTCTGGAAAACAAAGCATCTATATTTACTAATCTTATTTTTAAATGTCGCAAAACAGATTAATTTAAGACAGCGATAGAAGCCTCTAAAGGGAAAGGGATGCAGCAGCAGTGAAGCGGATTCCGTTTGCCTGGAGACGAATAAGCAGAGAGAGAGACACAATTCTTAGTCAAGTAGCGCCTCAGGCTTCGGCTATGTCACAGAGGACTGCCTAGAAAGCACAGCTGCCATCCAGGTGAGAGGAAGCCCAAGAGACAGGGCCAGATTGTGCACAATGAACAGCAAAAGGCAGCTGAAAATGTACACAGACCAGCGAAAAAAACGGAGGGTAAAAAAGTCACATCTAAAAGAGCTGCTTCTCTCTCCCTCTCCTTCCCTCACCCCCACCAATGAAAGATCTGTGATATGAACAACCGCAATAATCTTTTCTTTGCACATGAACTCAGCCAAATTTCAGACAGATGAATGAAACTGTGCAAGAGTGAAAGGAAATTCTTAAAGATATTAGAAAGATGATTTTTTTAAAAAAACATATGGCCTTTATCTTCCTCATTGTAGACAATTTCTTGATTTTTTTAAAAGCAGACCCTAAACCAGTGGTTCTCAACCTGTGGGTCGCGACCCCTTTAGGGGTCAAACAACCCTTTCACAAGGGTTGCCTAAGACCATCGGAAAACACATATTTTCAATGGCTTTAGGAATAATTTTATAGTTGGGGGTCACCACAACATGAGGAACTGTATTAAAGGGTCGCGGCATTAGGAAGGTTGAGACCCACTGCCCTAAACTGTACTTTGATGCTAGGAAAGAATTGATACAGGGGGATTGATTTGGGGGTGAGAAGAGGGAGCAGCGCTTCCCTTACTATCAAGCACGTGGTTGAGTGACTAAAGACTAAAATGCACCTGCAAATTATTCAGGAGACTGTTGAACTGGGAAAAAAA